CACTCAGTCATTGTGCACCATGGGTGTTAACTGTTGGGGCATCAACCACTAATCGAAGAATAACATCCATTGTGGAGTTGGGAGATGGTAGAACATTCCTTGGAGAGTCGGCGTACCAACCAAATCATTGGAATTCTACTAAGAAGTTGGAGCTTGTATATCCTGGCAAGAATGGTGACCTTTGGGCCCGTGTTTGTTTGCCCAATGAATTGGCTAAATTTGACTTAAGAGGTAATCAATAATGTTGTCATGAAATCAAAATTATGATCCATATTGTCTATAACTGTTGAATTAATATATATACTTGTTATATAATATTTGGTAATTAAATAATCCATTTATGTGTTAATTAATATGAGCTAGCACATGTATATTGAATCGCAGGTAAAATTGTAATATGCGTGGCTGGCAGGTTTAAGGATGAGGTGAAAGGAGAGGCAGCATACCTAGCTGGCGCGGAGGGGATGATCGTAATAAACGAGCCTTCCCAAGGACACACTACTTTTTCTTCTGCTCATGTTCTTCCGGCATCAAATATAGACCACCCGGCAGTATTAGAAATTTTAGACTACTACTACAACAATCAACCCAATGCATTTGCCAGCATACGCTTCAATGGCACCCAATTTGGATTTACTCCCTCCCCCACTGTTGCATCTTTCTCCTCTCGCGGGCCAAGCCGCATGAATGGTGGGATCATCAAACCCGACGTGCTCGCCCCTGGAGTCAACATTTTGGCCGCCTGGCATACAGATGTTGGCCCTAACCCAAATCCATTGGCGACCCACACCTTCAACTTTGACAGTGGAACCTCCATGGCCGCACCACACGTAGCAGGGATTGCAGCATTGGTGAGGAGCAAACACCTTGGGTGGACCCCAGCGGAGATCATATCAGCAATTGTAACAACCTCGAATGACTCATGGACGGATGCAGGAGATCTCATTGTCGATGATACCTCATACAAAACTGCAGGGATATATGCCACAGGGGCTGGTCAGGTGAACCCGACCAGGGCGGTGGACCCAGGTCTTGTGTTTGGGCTCACCTTAAACGACTATATTGGATATCTTTGTGGCCTTGGGTATGATGATACGGAGGTTTCACTTACGATCGGAAAACAAGCACGTTGCAATATGGTTAAGAATCTAACCGCATCAGAACTTAATTACCCATCAATCGCGATCAATTTGACTAGATCAACGATGAGTCAAATAGTGAACAGGACGGTGAAGAATGTAGGGGATGCAAGAGAGGACTACTCAGCTAAGATTACCGAGCCCGTGGGGGTAGCAATTTATCTCTCAACTTATAAGCTTCGATTTACAAGGTTGAATCAGGAGGTAAGCTACAATGTCAACTTTG